TTCAACTGTGCGGCCCAGGACCTCTCTCCAATCTGCATTCAATTCCTGGAACGACTATCAGATGCCGTCATCCCTGACCCTCCGAGAACAAGGGAAATGATTGCTCGAGGCATCGGTCATCGCTATGCTGGGAAAGTCATCTTCATGAACGAACCAGCAAAAGGGAATGATGCTGACCTGAGCGAGGACTTCTTCATTTATTGGAAGAACAGGCTGCACCGTCCTGAGACTTTCGCTGCGGACTATTGTCAAGGCACAAAACGACCCGCAATCTTGGGATTTGGAGGTGAGTGGCGAAGTGAGAAGACAGACCCTGATGACGTCTTGGATGAGCTCCTGGAATTCGTGATGGGTGATGCTCAATTTGTACCTGGCTTGGACATCAACCTTGTGAAAGAAACAAGGGCACTTGTGATTCCCAAGGCCAAGGCCGCACCAGGTCCAGGTGAAAGTCTGGCAAGAGCTACACGTACTCAAGCCGAGACGTCAGAGCATCGTTGGCGAGGAGCTGCCGGAAGTGATCAATACCACGATTGGCAGCAGTCATCCTCATCGTCTTCCTGGTGGTCCTCATCCAACCGCAACTGGTGGCAAGATGATCGCGGTCGTGGCAGTGACTGGCGAGGAAATGACTGGTGGAGTCAGCGCAGGTGGTGAACACGACGCACAGCGGGAGCTGTTGCCTGTGGAGAAGAGAGTGAAATCTACGGGTAACACGGCTGTCTTTGTGCACTGTGTTTTCCCTCAACGCACCGCGGGAGCGGTTGCCTGGATGACCGTTTCTGTGATGCACCGGGGGACCGGATGCCTGAAACCAGCAGCTAATTCGTTTGAGTTCAGGTCGATGAACTTGGCTCTCAATCCTTGCAATGAAGAGCGCACATCTTTTGCTGTGTTTGGTCGCCACGCGGGAGCGTGTGCCTTGATGGCTTTGTTCCTGCTTTCTAAAAGGTTGGCATTGCACTCCCAGTTCCGCTGCGCAAAAGAGATTATCTTTGTGAGCTTGCTTTGAACTTTCATGCATGAATCAGTTGAGACATGTTCAACCCTAGCATCAAAGCATGACAGTGCATTATGTGATCCGTCCTTGAGGTCAACCATCCTCTCCATCTCAAGGCACGTTCCGGTTCGATGCATCGCACGTACCGGGGGGACCGGATACCTTCGTAGGTCCTTAATTAGTGCACTGTACATAACTTCACTCCTCCCATTTTCGTTCAGCGGGGGGTGTTGTTTCACGCTAGGATGTCTAATACATGTCTCACTTACCTACGTTTGGCTCAAGGAAAACCAGGTGCGACTTGTTGGTAGTTCTCGGTCGTTTACCTGTAACTACATGAGTCACGCACGATCAGAAGGTGTGCACCAGAAGAGAGTTTCAGGGCGACGGACATGGTGATTGCAAAAGGCCTGCCCTGGAGCTATTCCCCACAAGGGATTCTGATGAAGCATGGGGGTCAAGCACAAAGATACCGGCAACCCACGCTGGAGGCAGATGCAACAGAGGAGGAATTGAAAGCCATTTCAGAAGCTATTGCAGCTGGAGTGGTGACACCAGCTCCAGGACTACATGGACAACCGAAGACACCTGCCATGGCAATAGCTATGCCGGCGACACCCGCAACAATGCCTTTGACTCCGAAGACCAAGGAATCAGGAGTGGAGCCAATGGTCGAGAAGCCTGCAGAGCATGGAAATGATCAAGAAGATTCACCTAGGAAGGGGCATGAGAAGAGAGAAGCCCAACGAGAAGAGAAGGAAAGTGAGAAGAAGCAGAGGACGCAAGAGGAGAATGAGGATGTAGAGATCGGAACATCTTCAAGCGCCACAAGACCAAGAGAAGAAGAGGCTCAAGCATCGGCCTGAGTATCCCCAGCAAAGATGGCACGACTGTATCCCCCACACTTTGCAGGGATACAGGCAGTAGAGGTGCATGGAGATGAGGAGTTTGATTATGACATGGTGCCGGAGGAGACAAATGAGGAGCTGCAGAGGAATGAGGCAGAAGATGAGGAACCACCTATAACTACTGATGAGCACCTCAAGATGTTGGACCAAGAAGCAAAGAAGAATGAGGTGGATAGGATGGTGAGTATTCCTGTGATGGAGGAGGTGAACGCAGAAGAAGTGAAGGACAAAGGAGGCTACCTGATTTCCACGAAGTTCGTCTATTGCTGGAAGCATAGAATTGAGCGTGGAGGCTGGTTCAGAAGAGCGCGACTGGTAGCCAGGCAATTCAAATCTAGTGTGGATATGGAACAGACGTTTGCTCCAACATCAATGCTGGTGATACCAGAGATGCTCATCAACTTGATGCTGAACGTCTTCAAACACTTCACAGCCATGACATTGGACATCAAGGACGCTTTCTTGATGGCGGCACAGCCGGAGGAAGAAAAAGCCTACGTTGAAGTGGATGACAAAGTCTACAGTCTACAGGCTGACCCGGTGTTTGCCTGGACAACGAACAGCAGCGTCACAGTGGTTCCAGCTGTTCACAGGAGCAGCAAAAGAATTCGGCATGGAGCAAGATGTCATGCAGCCCACACTGCTGATGATTCACAAAGTGATATACATCACAGTACATGTTGACGATGTCTTCATGGTGGGTGATGAAGGAGCTCTGAAGCAGTTTGTGGACTTCCTGAAGATGAAGAAGAGGTGGAGCATCGAAGAGAAAGGACCCTTCCTGATGGGGGAAAGATTTTCTTACTTGAAAAGAGATTTCACGCTCTACAGGAGTTGGTGCGATATCAGGTGCGACTACAAGCAATATGAAAGCCTGAGCAAAGAGATGGACCTCTTCAAGAAGGCATACAGGAAGACACCTCTGGAGCAAAACCACAGCAAGAGGGATGAGAGTGAGGAGCTTCAGGGAGCAGAAATAACAAGGTACAGGAGTGTTGTTGGAAGATTGATGTACCTTGCTGGCGAACGTCCTGATGCACAATTCGCCATCCAGAATCTGGCACGCTTCATGGCTCGACCCACAAAGCAGGCATGGAACAAGGCATGGCACGTATGCTCATACCTCCAAGGCACAGAAGGGTATGGAGTAAGAATTGCAGCAAGAGCAAGAGGTCAGTCAGTGATGAACGTCAAGGATGCAGATGAGGTGGAAAGCAAGGAACACCACCTATTGGAGGTGGTGACAGATGCTGACTACGCAGGTGATCGAAATGATCGCCGAAGCACGACATCCTTCCAAGTGTTCATTGATGGCAACTTGATGGAATCGAGGGTCAGAGCACAGAAAGCGATATCCCTATCATCTGGGGAGTCGGAATTTGTGGCAGTGGTTGCAGGATCCTCGGATGGATTGCTCATCAAACACCTCTGGGAGAAGGTCACGGAGGAAAAGTGTGAGATGAAGGTGAGGAGCGATAGCTCAGCTGCACGAGCAATGGTACAAAGGCAAGGCATAGGACGAGTGCGCCACCTTGACGCCTCGTTGCTCTGGGTGCAGCAGAAAGAAAAGGAGAAGGTCTTGAGCATTGGACCTATTCCAACAGAGCTCAACTGTGCCGACCTGGGCACGAAGGCTTTGACACGGAAAAGGATGCTTGGATTGCTATACATGCTGAAGGTGGTCCAGTTTGGTGGAGAAAGAGTTGGAGAAGAAGAATACAAGGAACTGGAGCACCGAGAGCAGATGAAGAAAGGAATGAAAAGAGTGATGCAAAGCAAAGATCTCCGTGTGGGGCTATTGATGATGATGGCCACCATGGACCAAGCTGCCGGCAACAAGACAGAAGATGAAAAGAATGAGGAAGAAGGATGCCAATGGATAGTGTTCTGGTGCTGCGCACTACTTGGAGCCTTGGGCCTGATGAATTGGCTGCGGCAGCATGTCCTCAAGAGGCTGATCCGCTGGGCATGGAACTATATGGTTTCCACCATGGCGATAGTGAGTCAGGAGACTGAGAATTACATGAATGGTGGAAGTCAGAAAGTGAACAAAGAGACGCAAGCAAACTACCAAGCGGACCTTGAGGCATGGACAGAATGCCAAAAGGAGAATGAAGACCTGAAGGTCAAGCTGTTCCAACTCGACACCTACATCGAGGAGTTGGAGCAGACAGTCCAAGAAGTGAGGGAGCAAAGGAATATGGCTTTGGCAGAAGCCCACCTCGCTTCAAGCCATGGACTTAGTTTGATGAAGCAGAGCCTGAATTACAGGATCTGCAGGACCGGCAGGAAGATTCATTTTAAGAACACCTGCCCACATTTCCAGGCTGCAGAACACTTAGAAATGTGCTGCTTTTGCCTGAAGATCCATGAGTGAAGGGGCCGTGTCAGAATTCCCCGTACAGTCACTCATGGATGACACGCACAAATCAAGTGTGTACCGAAACGACTAGGCTCAAGCGAGTAAAAGATCTCATCTTTCGCTTCGCAAAATTCATAAACGGACATGTTAGCATTGTCCGCGCAAACATGTCCACCAAGACACCAAAGCAAGGGAACCACACTTTTGCGGGACACCAGCACTTCACTTGCCAACGCTCAGTATCCCACTTTGAAATCGCTAACGTGTCCTGCTCATAGATCTGACCTTCCAGGTCACCTATCTTAACCAAAAAATAAAAGAAAACACCTTTAAAAGGATACGTTAAAGAAACCGGGAGAGTAATCTGAAGTATTTTGTTGGCCGTGTGATGGCTGCAAGTCGCTGCAAGTCTATCATGTTCATCATGTTCCAAGACCAGAAGCGAGGTGTTTTCCCTGTGATCGTTCAGAGCTCACCCTTTCGCCTCCTCCTTCGGGAGTGCCCAGGCGCGAGTGCGAACGCGCTTGGGCGGCACTGGGCACCGAAGACCGCATGCGGAAGAAGGAACGCAACACGATACGACAGGTGCAGAGTTGCCTGTTTTGCTCCATGTGTGGCCACTGTATTTGGATTTGGGCCGTTGTTTCTGAAGAGATCTGGGAAACTGGTGTGTGTGTGTGTGATATGTGTGGTATGTGTGTCAGGTTTCAATCTATCTTTCGTGCGGGGTAGGCTCAAGGCGTTGCCCTGAAGTGAGCTGTAGGCACGTTTGAGCAGTGCTTTTTGGAGCCGCTCATGACTGTGGTAAAAGTTCAGTGTGAGAATGGGGACATTTTTCGACTGACGCTTGAAGAAGAGGCCAGCTTTGAGGCAATCCTTCAGCTGGTGGCAAATGGCTGTCACGTGGAGCCATCGCTGCTGAGCAAGGGTTTGAAATACGTGGATGACGAAGGAGATGATTGCACTTTGGCTCCAGCAACTTTCACAGACTTCCTGGGACAGACAAATGGAGAGTTGTTGAAGTTGAAGCTAAGGCTACCAAAGAGTAGCAATGATGTGAATGAGCATGCGTCTTATGCCATGTCGCAGCCTGGCGTCGGGACTGTTGAAGTGGACCTTCGCACAGAGAGAGATGGGTCTCAGCAGTTCCAGCCCCCAGGGGGCCCACCCACGGGGCCCCTTATGGGCCTCATGGGCCCCCCTGGCCTTGAGAAGGATGTGGATATGTCCGGTCCTGGGGGCCCAGGTGGTGGTCCACGAAGACTCCTAGCGGCATTGCATATGCTCCGTGCAGCCGGGATGCTGACGCCAGCGATGTTTGCCTCGTTGACGGTGCAGTGGCTTCCGCTGGTGACGCAGCGTGTGGCCCGAAAGGTCGACAAGATTAACCATATGGCTCGACAGGGTTTGGACCAGGCATGTGTCAAGATGTTGGAGAAGATTCAGGAGCAAGCTGAAAGTACCCCGGGCTTAGAGCAACATGCAGCTCCACTTGCCAATGCTATAAGTGGCAATCGGCGACTAGGCGAATCCATACTCGAACTTCTGAAATCCTTTCGTGGCCTTAGCTTTGAAGTTCAGACTCAATTTTGTGAAAGTCTCGCTTCTGCTTTGGTGCCGTACTTGGAACATCTCACCAGTAAGTGGTTTGGTGAGGACTGTGGTTTCTTTGCTTGCTGCGCGTCAGAGCAGCATCATGCAGGCACCACTTGTGCTGGGTGCGGGGGGGCTCCAATTGTCGGCCCACGCTTCAAGTGTCCAGTTTGTCCCACTTATGACCTGTGTGGGAATTGTTACCCAAAGAAGTACCAGCTTCATGGAAATTGTCCTGGTTGCTCGCAAGACTTTCAGTGCATAATTTTTCCAGGAAAGCTAGAGCATTGCTCCAAGGGCAGAGGAAGGGACAAAGCTAAAGATGCAAAAACTAGTGAGTACCTAGGTGGGTGGGGCAAAGGTGGCTGGATGGACGCCGGCCCCATGGGCTTCCCTAACTTTCCATTCCACGGCTTCCATGGTTGGCCAATGCCCTTTATGGAGGTTGGCTCCTTGGGCACTGAGGAGGGACAGGATTCCAACAGTTGTGGCTGGCCAAAAGGGAAAGGAAAGTGCAAGAAGGGCAAACACAAGCGGAAAAGTTGGTACGATTGGCACCCTCAGCCCTGGGGAGAGCAAGTGGAGGACTCTGACGACTTTGAAGCGAAAGTGGCCAATTTGCTTGAGCTCCAGCTTGGCAGTGAAGAGGTCATCCGAGAGCTTTTGATTTCACATGATGGGGATTTGACACAAGTAGTTAGAGTACTCACCTCTTGAACAGCCGAGATGCAAAACAGTGGCGCGGTTTCAGCAGACACTTGGTGCCACACGAACGAATGCATTGGACTTGTGCCGGCACGAACTGGTCACTAGAAAACCGAGCACCCTTCAAAGCATTTTGCTTCAAACTGGAAAAGGTGCAGCAGTTTGTCGAGGTGGTTGCCATTAGGCTGCGCTTCGTATTTGCACTCTTGGATTCAAGTGTTGACACGAGGCTTTGAGCCGAAGGCAGTGGAAAGGGACCTGCTTCTGACAGCTAAGGCCGAGGAACACAGAAGTGGCAGCTAGCTTGCATTGAGAGGATGCTGGTAGGCACTAACGAGTAGTAGGCATTAGAGGGTGGTGCATCAGCAGATCAGAATCCACACTTGTTCCTGCATGGGCCTGACCATATACTATAGCTTGCGAATGGGCTTTGATTGAGCATTGCTTGAACAGAACATTTTCTTAATGAGAAGAAGATGTCCAACTTGGAATGGAAGTAACATGAAGTAACTAACCGCAGGCCAGACCAGTGGTGTGGGATACAAAGCGGCCACGAATCCGATTGAGCTTTGCATGGCTTGCTGGCCATACCCCATAAGTATACAGATCAAAAGCAATTGTGGTATCAAACAAATTTTTATGGCCGGCGGAAGTTCTGACCATGTCTCAAAAAACGTATTTGCCATCACTTGCACTTGCATTCCCACACGTCACCCTGTGGGTTCAATCTTGGAGTATGCACAGCACACCGTGTCGGTTGGATTTTTATGGATTTTTTGGGTGGTGTTTCCAGAGGAAATGCCGGATCAGCCACAGAAACCAGGAAAATGCAAGAAGATAAAAACCGAAAAGTTGCGAACAGCCAAGAAACTAAAAAGTCATCAAATGCCACCAGAAACCCGCGTGGAAACGCATTTTATGCCTTATGCCTCGCCTCCTTCTGCTGAAGCTGGCATTTGTTTACTTTGGCTGCTTGCGGCTGTTTGGTTCTCAACAGGTTCGAGGGGGTCGCAGCGCCCCCACCCAAAAGAAACCGTATAAACAACTTATATATCTCAGAAGTTGTGCTTGATTCCACTGTTTCGTGCACGCTGCGCAAACAACCAAGAAGTCACCAAACGCATCCAAACGCCAAGAAACCAAAGTCATCAAAAAAAACGGAGACCGTTATGGAAACTTTCAAAATCGAAACAAAAGCTTCCCAATGTGGATTTGCTTCATTGCCCGCAGTTTTTAAGCTTGTTCTGCGCTCCCAGAGGGCGAGGGGACATGAATAGCTTCTTTAAATCTGGTTTGATACGATACACGGTTTCAGTTGTGCACACGCATCCCGCCATAAGGTGTTCTTGCTGCTGATCAAGAGGAGGAGCTGGTGCAATTTGATCAGAGGCAAGGCTTGAGGATCTTATGTTTGAACGTTTGATAGCTCCATCAACTTCTTGCCCAATATGAAAGCAAAGCCAGCAACAAGATGGCCTTAGTGATCACCTGCAAGGCTTTTGGGCCTCAGAGATGATCAGCTGAATCTGGAGCTTGAAGAACTACGACGCAAAATCCGCAAAAAGGCCTGACCTGGCATGTGTGGCCCGCGTGTCGCTCTAGCACCCGTGATTCAATGAAGCTCATGGCTAGAAAGCCTATCAAAATAGTCACAGGCTTTGAGCCTGGTAGATCAACGGCAGGTGTGTGTTCTCGTTCACGGTTCTCGGCTGAAAACGACTTCCGCACAAGTACAATCAATATCAATCAAGTACTGCAAATAGATTGAGGCAATAATACAGGGGAGTGCCTCCCGAGGAGGCTGTTGCAAGATGTTGCAAGTACTTTTGGTTTGGGGGTAGAATTGGCTCCTCGCAACATATCACAACCTGTAAGCACAGCACTCTTGCTTTGGCCTCCTGTGAGGCACCATTAAATACAGCTCTCGGTGACAGCACTTGCCTCCATGAATGATGACATTCTTTCACTAACCAGATGCTTCGGAGAGTCGAACGCTAGGGTCTTTCTTACACTACCTGTTCTGTGTGATTCTGTCTCGGCCACAAGCACCTGCTTTTTGTCCACGGAATTCATGTTCCAAAGGGGCCTATGCGGGCGGCATGTTGGCACCTTTCAGATCACGTACAAAAGCAAGACAAACTCAGGAGAAGGTTTGTAGACCACGAAGAGGTTCCAAGAGGCATCATTGCAATTCACTGGACTGCACGGCTGCCCCTTCCACCTAGTCCAAGGACCCCCACCTCCAACCAACACAAAACAGACGTTCTTGTGTAGTCCTTTAAAATGCATGTCCCACCCACTGCAAGTAGCATCCACGCATCCACCATGTTTGATTCTTGCGTGATGTGCCTACCACCAGTGTCGAAGCAAGACCTTCCGACAAGAGAAGCATTGACCCGTTTCCGAAGACTGGTGACTGGTGTAAGGATTTGTCTTCTTTCTCCGAAGAGCTAGCACAGCATTGGAGTCAAAGGAAAAAAGAATGGAATGGAATTCATCAGGTTTGTGAGGGGTGCCAGATCTGAAGAATGGTGCTGAAGAGGTGCTAAGCACGATATTTTTGGAACATTGTCGGACTGAAGAAAGCATTTAGTGTAAGATCTGACATTCCCCCACCCGGACACAGGTCAGGGTCAACTTATTGTTGTTGTTTTCTTTTTGGTCCACACCGGCGGACTCGCTTTGATGTGCATCGTTCAAAACATGCCAACACTCTCGGCAACCTTTTGTCCTCGTTCCCTTGACTACATGCTTTAAACATCTTTAAACTCAAGTCCACTTGTCCCATGGGCTAGCACTTTGCAGCAACTCCAGGAGAAAGAAGTCATGGTAATCATGCTGAACATCGCTGAGTCTTGGAAAATGGGATCTGAGGACTTTAACTGTTCGTACGCGCAGCAGTCAAACTTCCAATGTTCGTCAAGCCCCCACAGTCAGAGGTTCAAAGCTAGAGGTCCCTGACAATCAGATCAACACACAGCCAAGGAACGTGGAAGCTTTCTGAATGCCACTTGACCGGCATTTTAACTTGATTTGCTCAATGGACACAAGCTGGCTTGAGCAGGCTTCGAGCATCAGCCAAATCCGAGAAGAGATGGAAAAGCAGGACCAATCAGAGAGACCACCTGTGACCCAAGCAAAAGACATATATTCGATAAGCACTCATTTTTTCAATGTAGGATGGCACTTCTTTGGACTTGGTAGCCGAGCAAGAGAAGGTTTGGCCTCTCAACTGCAAGCTTTTGGGTTGGGCCTTGGAGGCTGATCCAGCTGCACCAAGGATAATTGCCGAGGAAGAGCTGCGACGTTTAGAAGCACAGAAGGCTGGTTGCGGTGCATCGGGGCACCTGAATCTGACATGCCGCCCAGGACTTGATTTTTGAAACCGTGGGCTTTGTGAAAGGCACGGTCATGAGTGGCTTATGGTGAGTCCGACTCGTGGCTCAGACGTGCTTTCTGTAGCTAGAGTCAGCTAGAGTTGGAGGTCGCATGAAGGGGGAAGACAAGGTTCCTTTGGGTGACGACATGGCGCACTTTCTCCAAAAGAAGCGTCGCTTGGCAAAAGCGAGAACAGTTCAGAGGAAATCTAAGTCACCGCGATGGGCAACCAGGTGCTGATGTAGAAGCAAAGCACCTCCCGGGCTTGATGGCAAAACGCATGGAGGAGGGTGAAGTCGTTGTGGTTTGTTTGTTTCATGTACTTGTATGGGGCAACGCGAGCTTTTCAGAGCCCACACGTGATACCTTGAGCATGACTGAGAATCCAGGAGCATGGGAAAGACCTGGAGGCACCGAGCAAAGAGAATTTACTGCGGTGTGGAAGCCCAGCACGCCATACGACTTGATGAGGACTTCTTCGTCATTCTATCCACTTTGAGGGGCTCGGGCGGATGGTTGGGTAAACGGCGTTTCTGTGGTGGTAGCAAGCAAGCAGGCGAGGTAAGGCAAGGCAACCCGAGGCAGCAAGCAAGCAGCACGTGTAGAGGATTTGAAGCCATGGGCTGGCAGAGGGCGTGATCGTTTTATGAGAACAAGGGCCTCCATGCACTACTAGTAACAAGAAGCTACTAGGTTGGAGGCCATCGCTACTAGGGTGGAGGCCATTACTAGTAACAAGAAGCTACTTGTAACAAAGCCAGGCTTTTTTAGCAGATGTCTTAATCTATATAGCGAGGCTGTGGATCGAGCAGCCAAGGATGCAAGAAGAGACAGAAGAGCTGAACCTGAGAATTCAGCAGGTGGGTTTCTTTGGGAGTTTCTTGCAGTTTCATCAGCTATGCAGGAGCCAGGAGGTGTTAAGCTCAATTCGTAAGCGTGATTGGGCACAGGCAATGTCACACTAATCAATTTCTTATATACAGTAATGCTTGTTTTTTTGGGACTATTGCTGGCCAGTGCGGTTGGAATTTGAGATGGAGAGGAGAAGTGTGTCAAACAATTGACGGAGAAACATTGAGAAACAGCAACATACTTGACGTGGTCATAAAAATTACCGAAACGCTTGAGTGTGTCATGGAATTCAAGGCCGCAGCGCTGATCCTCAAGGTTAGCTCTGACAGCCAGGTGATCAAGGAGACAGAGTGGACTTTGAAGTCCATATGGGGGATCAGACTCGCTCCGTTCAATTAATGACTGTTCAGCCCCTTGACAGTATCATACAGTATCAGTATGATGCCGGCTATGTCGGTATATCCATCGACTTGAGAACATCAGTGACAAGAGCCGTGGGTACATCGGCATATCAATTATTCAATATTATTCATGTCAATCCACTTCAAGCGAGGCAGGAAACATGCGCTAGCGGCAAACGCCACAACCTGCAATCTTCACCCTGCCCTAGATGGATCACGGGGATTCCTGTGAAAGCAAACGCAGCAAAGAGAGCAACATGCTTGCCATGCATTGAACGGAAAGTCTCATCAAAAGTATAGACCAAGTAGACCAGTTCATTTCAGGACATTGAAAAGAATATTGAAGCATTGCAAGAAGGTGCAGAGCCCAACGTCGAAGTGACACGAGCTCAGCTGTTCC